TATGTATATATATATATATATATATATATATACATATATATATGTTTTTTTGCTTTTAATTTAAAAAAAAATTGTCTAATATGTTCAATTTATATATTTTTAAAATAAATCAACTTGATCTTAAAAACACTAAGAAAATATTTTAAATGCTTGGACTGCTTTTAAAAGCAATCTTATCCTATTTAAACATGCCAAATAAATTTTATTTTAAAATAAAATGCAAACAAAACAAAATAAAAGAAAAAAAAGTGATCCTAAACAACCCCTTATCAATTTTATACTTAAACACTCAACAAACAATAAAAATAAAGTAATATTATTGGAAGTCCAACATGATTCTACATGTTTAAGAAATCTACATCATCGGTCAAACCAAATCAATAAGATTAATGATAGAAAGAAAAACATTACTAGAGAAAGAATGCTGTGGAAGTTATAAAAAGATTTGAGGCTTTAGGCTTTAAAATAAGCAAATTCAAAGGCTTTAAAATAAGCAAATTCAAGTGACAACCAATACTTGTTGGCAAGAACAAATATAGGCACGCATCAAACTTTCAGTAAATTATAAAGAATACAAAGACTAAACACAAAACTGAGAATTTAAAGGTATATAATTAGTAGGTATCGAACCAAACTCATCGCTATGGCTTACCCACGATCAACAGCAATACTGCACACAATAGGATAGTTTGCCATGACAGTAACAAAGTAATGCTACCACAAACCTGCCATTCGAGTCATCAATTTTACCCCACAAAAAAAATAATCAAATATGCATAAACAAAGGTTTTATAGAGTAGATACCAAACATCATTTATACCATAATCTCCAAATCATCGCACAAAACATCGCATATTAGGATATTTGTAGGCCATGCTCTTCGTAGACATATATTACGGCAACATTCAGGGAGAACATGCATACAAAATACAAGGATAAGTTTATTAAACTGTAATGGTAAATAGATGCTCAAAGTTCAGAAAGAAAAACATGCCTAGTGATTTAGTTGATGTCTTAAAAACTCAAGTAATTAACTTTTTAACCTTATTTAGTAGTCCCTTGATGTCATTAATTAAATCTTTCCTGACCACCGGCTGCAACCCGTGAAAAGTGTTACCTTTCTTTGGTGAAAGTGCATCTATCATTCTTTGAAGATCTCGACTTATCCTTAAAAGTGATGCGTTGGAATCAGATTGAGATGGCGAGGGACTATCCGTGGATTGCGGCAGATTGAATGATTGACAATCAACAACCAAAAATGGGAAATTTTTACTGTTTCTTATACCAGTCAAAGCCTTCTTCGCATCACTTGCCCTTGCAAAAACAACTCTAGCACAACCGGGATCTCTGAACAACTCAGTCTCGTGATTTATCAAGTCCCCATATTTACTAAACAGCGAAAGGAGCTCATCCTTAGAAGGAAGTGTGATTCCAGGAGAAAATGTCAAAAGTAGAGCTACTGAATTTTCATTGTCACTGACGGCATGTTTTGTCCTCTTTGATTTGATGGGGCTTTTCCTGGGGTTATCATACAGAAAATGACTAAATTCAGATTGGTGCTGACCATTACTAAGATCATCATAGCTCTTTCGCTTATGACTGGAGCTGACATGATGCACATTTCCTGTTTGCCTCGCTTTTCCATCATTAACTATGCCAGCAGTTTTACTTCTCTTCTCTTCTATTTTATCTTCACCTAAATAATTAATGGTTATATGATTTAATTTCTCCACACCACCAATAAGAGCATCATCAGCACTTCTCTTCCCTCTGTACCTTGATCTACCCGTTGAAGCATTCACTCCATTCAGACAAAAACTTTTTGTAGTTTCTGTTGTAGCTTGATCTTTCTTAACTTTTCCTCTATTCTCATGTCTCCCCAACGCATATTCTGGATTGGATTCATCCTCCTGGTTATTTTTCTTTTTCCCAGATGAAGCTTCATTCGATTCCATTTCAAGCAGTGGAGGATTTCTAAATGTGCCTGAATCACCATGATGCTCAGAAAAATTTTCAAGCATTAGAGTGCCAGAGTAAACCAAGCTTCTGTGCATCAGAAAGAATTCCATCACTGTCTCTAATGGAAAGTTCCTCCGCAGATGAAGAGGATTGCTTGCCACAAAGAAAAGTTTTATTAATATATCATGTGCAGAAGCCTCATTATAGTTGGATAATAAATGAGTGATCGGATCACCTTCATTTGTGGATCCCTCTGGAAATTTAGCTTGCATATGCTGAGAAGATTCGGAATCATTCTCTGAAACATCAGGATCCACTGACTTCAATGAATTTGAGCGCTCAGTAAAGCCAGTAGTGTAAGGGGGAGAAAGATATTTGCTCTTCTTTCGCTCACGTCTTGTTGTGCCATTCTCCTCATCATTCATAACTTTAGTTGCCTTATCAACAGGAACCTTAGGCTTCTGCTTTTCCTTTTTCCTCTTCTTTTTCTGGTTTTGCAATAAGCCTAGATTTATATGGCCTTTGGTTTCATTCTCGACTGTGCCAAGTTTGTCTTCCACCTCAGAATCAGCCAACAGAATGAGTTCAGCCATACTCCTCTTCTTCCTCGAAGCTTCATCACAAGAATTCAGTGGTCCTTTAACCACCCTTCCTCCAGTGATTTGAGAATCTCCACGACGCTTGTCCTTGTAAGAATTTTCAGGTAAAGCATTCAGATCAGTTTTTTTTTCATCAAATAAATCCTCAATCATTTTAAAAAAGCATCCATTTCTAAGATAGAATGAAGCAGCCCAGCTCCTCAGCATGGTAACATCAAGCATACTGGCAACCGAAACATCCTGTGCAACATCTTGAAGGTGACTAAGGAAAGCAGCAGGAGAATAATTAGCAATAGAAGATTTGCCAATACCATTATTCCTACTCATCCTAAATTGAACAATTTTCTCTGAAGGCACACAATAACAAGTCAAATCAGACCTTAAACAGTTCTCTATCTCATGCATAGCATCCTTAACAGCACTAATAAAGCCATGAGAGCTATTCTGATGAGATAAATGTTCAAACTCCTCTTTGAAGGGTTTCAATTCGGAAGGTTCGCACCAAGCAAATGTAATATCACCGAAGTAGGCCACTAGAACATGATGATCAAGATGTTCGGAATTCCTGGCTTCTATTGATGCATCTGATGGGTTGCAGACTTGCCCAGGCCACCACAAGTGGCCATGGATCTTCCCCCATACAAAATCCCCAATCCGAAATTCATCACTTGCTTTACATCTGAATTGTAATATAATAAAACGAATTTAAAATAGGTAAAAAAAAATAATATTAAGCAGAACAACCGATAAAATCTGATCACTCCGAAAGAAAGGGGAAAATGAGTCTTAGTCGTTGTTTCCAAACATCAGATCATAAATACTGTCAACAGTTAAAGAAGACTGGCAAATAGTATACTGATTGAAAAATTTGTTCTTGTATCATCAAAGGATTAGCAACCCATAAGAAAGGGTCGAACTTAAAGTGGTTAAATTTAAATTTTGCTTTTATTTCCAAATACTTCTCCTAATTTTATATCTTCGCTGGTTCTAAATTTAATCGCTTGGAAAAATCTTAAGCAAGACACAAAAAACATCTCCATTAAAATAATATGTAGTAATAGATAGCAGAGCTTCAAGAAAAGCAATCGACGTCAACTGAGTTGCTTTACTTTTAGCAAGACGATAATTAGAACTCAAAGCACATCAGTAAATACATCAAACCCTAGGTTAAATTATGCAGAGAATAGGTACGATGCATATATGTAAAAAGCCAAGAACTGGATTCCGAGAACTCACCCCATCTGGATACCGTCAGCTTGCATCTATCGAAGTGCGAGAGAGCAGATTTTATTTATTTTTTTAATTTTTTCACGAGTTGCGAGTATCGAAAGACGAAAACCTGCGCTCTTTGTATGTATTTATTTTACTTATTTTCTGCTTAACAATTTAAAACTAATTGGTAAACTTTCAGCCATATTCAGGCGGATATTTATGTAATTTAGAAAATATTTAGGGCTCTCTTTTCTTTGTTTTTTTTTCTTTTTTTTTTTTTTTGAGAAAAATGAAGGCCACACTAAATTTAATTTAAATAGAAAAAAATGCAATCCAACTACATGTAATATAACTCAAAATAAAGAAGTCAAGAGCAATAATGCCATCTTAAAACTTGAGAAACAATAACCACCACAGAAACATCTACAATTAACCACAACAAATTCAAAATAATAATGTAGAGAACAGACTCACAATTAACAAAGTTGACTAAAACGACATCTCTTACAATCAATTTAAGATTAAGAGTGAGAAACCCGAGGCTTGCATCACGAATGTAGCCAAGAAAATTTGCTAACGATTTCAAGTTCAATTCATTAAATGGTTGACATATGATGCCCCCTAGAATGTGCACGTACATGTATGTGTAATTACTTCAATTTCAATCTCTGGTGATGATACCAAATACTTGATCCGACCGCAAGTACGCAGACATTTAATCCCATGGCAAAAAAATTGACCAAGTTTACTTAGGCGGCTAATGTTCAAAATGGATATGTTATAGAATTTAGAATTGATTTATATTTTATACAGTAGGGGTTCTACGCACATATGTGTATCGTTACAAGTAGCTTAAGACCAGAGTGTCGATTCCACAACAAAGCGAGATAAGAATCCCTTAGGCTAATTCTAGTCTACTATTGTCAGATTTAAGTTTGGAATGACGATTAAAGGAGTTTTTCGAATAAAGACTCCTAAATACAAACTCAATCTAAAGGTAAACCTAACTAGAGAAATTGGTTTAGAGAATTTTGAGATATTAAAAACTACCTTTCACCTGCGACGACCTAGATAATGCGTAGAAATGAAATGCTCAGATTTTAATGTGGCCAGTGACAAATAGGAACATACATATTCTTTACCCTCTCCCGAGTTCATAAACACACTAACTAATCTAAAGTTAAGTTTCTGATTGATATGGTTGTGCTGAGTAGATTCTAAACTCTCGCTTCCAGATTGCCACTATGCCTCTCTATTAGGACCAATCAGGCCTCAGGTTCTGAACTAAAGACCAAATTGATAAAGGTTCTAGCCTGTCACTCTAGAATCATCAATTCTACTCCCATTAAAACTTATCTCTCTGTCTATTTGCACTCCCCCTTGGACTTGGCTCCCCTCCATCTAAGGTTTAGTGTAGTACTCACTAGTTTGGTGAAATCATAGCCCTCCCAGGACCTTATATTCACAATGGATTGTAACATTACAAATGGGCAGTTTGCAATGTAAATTAAGAAATGGTGAAAATATCATCACATTAATAAAATAAGAAAAATTTTAAGCAAATATAAATTCCTAAACATACATCCATTTCATCATAAAAGAAAAGTAAAATGAAGATGATGACATAAGCAGTAAAGAATTGATAGAATTATGTAATAAATTAAGTGCAACAACAAACATATGTCCACGTACCCTCTTCTGAACGTATAGGTACACTTAGTATTATATTAATTTTACATAACTAGTTGTCCCCTAGAAGCTTAATATAGAAACAGATCATGAATTATATTTCCTTAAAAAAATGGATTGCAGCCTAAACTGCATCACCATAGCCAACCGGACAATGTGAGTGCACCTAAGTTACAAGATCACTACTCTTCCGGGTCTTAGTTTCACATACAACAGATTTTAACATAACTTATTGCCACTTAAGCTATGTCAATGAAGCAACGAAGATATTAATCATCATATAGAAATAAAAGGAAGTCTATCATAAAAAAAACTTTTCTACTCATGCCACAACTTCATACCAAAAGAAAATAGTTAAGAAGACTAGTCACAAATGATGGATAAAACACAACAGAAAACTACATTAAACCAAAGAAAATCCACTAGAAAATGTTTATAATAATTATAAAATAATGAAGAACACAATACATAACTTTTTCCCTTTGAAAAAAAGATGAAAATCTCTCCAACAAAGCCTTCTGCTGATCCACACAATGCTCGTACACTTCCTTACACATATCTCTCAAAATCCCTCACCAATCTCTCCAGAAAAGGTAGAAATCTACATTCCTACTGCTATCTACAACCTCTGGATGTTCTTGGAGTTTTGAAGAGCTTGAAATACCAAAAGATCCTTCCTAGGTGCCAAAAGTCGTTATAACTTTTTGAGGCTTCTAGACCATGTCCACAGTCGTTTCTGGTGCCCAGGCACTATTTTTTGGGTGATACTGGCACCTAGGCACCATGCTATTGGCAACATCCCATTTTGCACACGTTTAAATCCGTTTCGCCCCATTTTAGCTCCAAGCTCCAAATGTTATCCTACAAGATAAACATGAAAATAACCTTTCTTTAAAGCGCAATTTCATTCAAAAATATGTGATAAATGTAGAAGAGATTAAGCATAAAAAGACATAAAAATGTGCCTGATTGAAATTTTATTCCTTACTCGATTTGACCCAAATTGCACTATTTTTGCTTCATTGTCTCCAAAACTCTTTTTCTTGTATCTGGAACCAAAAATATGCAAAATACATTTCTTTAAAATACAATATCATTAAAAATGAGCATAAAATGTCTATGAAAAAGTAAGTAATTTTTAGGCGTGTCAATACCCCCAAACTTAGACGTTACTTATTCTTAAGTAGTACTATAACGTTAAAAACAAAATTTGTTTATTTGAGGTAGTGGGTTTCAATAGATTTTCCAATAATTTTGTCCTAAAAAAGTTACAGTATAACATAAGAGAAATTCTGGCAAGTCAACCTACAACTAGGGTGAAGTATATCTCATATTTAACTTAGGAATCATAATTTTCTTTTTACTTTGAAAATTATTGAAACTGGCCAAACTAAAGGTTCTTAGAAAGTTTAAAAATAGAATTTAAGTACCCTATCTATACTAATTTTGACCAATGTTTTTTTTTAAATAAGAATAAGCTTACGATTGTTTCTAAATCTTCTTCTATAAAATGATTCAATTGAAACCAATTTTTGATTAGGCTACTCCTCAAATTCTCCTCACTTTTCATTTCTTTAAACTTTCACTTTTTATTTTCTTTTCTTCTTTTCTTTTTATTTTTCCTTCATGTTCTTTTTAATACTTACTCTATTTTTTTTAAATGAGGATTATTATCTCTAGACAAGCCTTTAATAATTTTGAATTTCACAATCCTCTTCCTAAAATTAAAAACTCAAAAATTTCTCTCACCTTTTAAAAGTGTAAGTATTAGTATGAAAAAGGTTTCAATAAAGGTTCAATTCTCATAAAGTATAAATCTAAGAGTCTTTTCTTTTCAAATATTCAACTTCTTTCGACCAGAAAAAGCAAAATCATTTTTCCTAATGTTTCTTACAAAATATCTTAACTGTAAAATAGTTTCTTTACATAGGATCCTAACTATGTTTTTTCTAACTTTCCTAAAATCAATATTATAGTAACTTAAAGGTAATGCCACATACCACAAGTAATTTTAAAAGTGATATCAAATTAAATGTAGGCTTTTAAGGACAAATAAAGTTAAGTTGTCAAGATTTTTCTTCCTCCAAAACTTGACTTTTAACATGTATAACATTCAATACAGAAAATATAAGCGGGAGGAAAATAGTTCAGAAATTCTATCTATCACAAATGTATATCATAAACATCTACAAATATTCATCAAGAAAGAAAAATTTGCAACCAAAAGTAAATGTAAACTAAAACATGATAAAATGAAATTGAACTAAAGAAAAGTCTATCAGCACAATACGCATCAGCATAGAAATATATTTAAGTGTTTCAGAAGTCCTTCATATTGTTATAACACAAACATGAACATAGATAATAAATGAGGTTAATTCATCCTTTAACTCATCACATCTCACTACCTTACTTTTAATATCTAATAGAATCACTATAGTATTAAATTAGGTACTTTTAAATGCTTTTATAAGGCCTAACCCTTTGGATACTGTCGGCGCTATTTTTGGTTAGAGGGAGAGCGTTTTTATATATATATATATATATATATATATATATATATATATATATATATATATATAGTTTTAATAAAATATGAAATCAAACTGACCCCATATTTTTCATAGTTTAAATGAAAGAGCACTGTACCTCAAATCCTGTATCTATCTCAAAGGATAAACACAAGATTTGAGGATGAGACTCGATCAAATAAACTAAGGAATATATGACATTCGTTTGGTCTGGGAAATCTTTGTATTTGCCGACAGATTCCCCTATTTAATATAAAGTATTAAATAGGGTATATATTAAGCTGGGTTCGAACATGCTTCTTATAAGGGCAAGCCCCTACAGATAATTACATCTTAAATGACCAAAGTCACCTAAAAAGACTCTCGATAAAAATCAAGAAATATTATCTTCAAAAAATTTCAAATGGTAGGACTTTTCAATGAGATCGAACGTAGAGGATTGAAAGGGGCTTGGTTCAAATTTGGAACATTTTGTTATAAATTTCAAAGGAGGATGAACTAGGGGATGCCATGGATCCAGAGGAGAACCTCGGTGACTTCCCAAGCTATCCTAATATTTGGCTTCAGTTTTAAGGAGAAAAGAAATATTTAGGTGGAGAAATATTTAGGTGTTTCATCCTGCCAATTTTTTAGTTAGGGCTTACATTCGTGTGAAACTATCACACGAATAGCCTAAGAGGGTTTAAGTCGTGATAGACTATACCCTCAGAATCATAAGACGAGTTAGGGCTTATATTGTATAGTAGGATTGTATAGTAGG